CGGGGGCGGCTGCGCGGGGTCCCTGCCCGGCTGTCCCGGCCCCGGCGAGGGAAACCCCAGGGCAAGGGTGCTGCTGGCTCCGGGGTTTGCCTGCAGGTCTGCGGTGGAGGGAAGGGCTTGCAGGGAAGCTGGAGGCAGGTGCAAGGGGAGGAGGGGACATCCTCCGGTTTATGGGACAGATACAGAGCTTGTTTTGATTTTTGTTGGGTTGTTTTCCTCCCCTGGGGCTCTTGTTTATGAGCAGGGGCTGATAAGGAGGCCTGTGGACTGCATGAACACCCTTGATAGGGCTCTGCTCACAACTTCCCCATGCTTCTTATCCAGCAGGATGGTTTCCACCATTCTTGAGGTGAGCTGCAGCCTCCTTGCCTGGCTCTCCCTGTATGCTGCCCTCCGCTCCTGGAACAAGCAGCGTTCCTACGAGTGGAGCTGCCGTTTGGTCACCCTGTTGCATGGCGTGATCGTCACCTGCCTCTCGGGTTACAGCGCTCTCTTTGATGGCCCCTGGCCTCTAACCCATGCAGGTATGTTTGGAGTCCTAGCTCAGAACAGCGTGTCACCCAGTGGGAGTAGTAATGCTGTCTCTGTTTCTATTGGAAGCAGAGTGAGGGTCTGATCTTTCTTGCTGTCTACGTTTTTCCATGTACGTATGTGAGGCTGAACTCTCCTGCTTCTCTTCCACCCTTACTATTTATTATTCATCGTCTCACTTGTATTTTGTTTTTTATCCAAATACTCTTTGAGAGCTTTTAGGTTGGCAGTTTGAGTTTATCACAGTATCAGAGTTAGGTGTGGCAGTGTGGACTAGACTAAATGCTTTTAGCTCTTCTGAGGCTGTAATAACTCCTAGCGTTTGTGTTTGTGTTTGCTGTTTCCATCATTCAATCTCAAATTGTTCTGCTGATGGGGCCAGGCTACTCATTCCTGCTTTTTAAAAGGATGGAGAGAAGAGGAGGGACAGAGCAGGGAAGGACTTTGGGGTCTGATAAGCAGAGCCAAGTCTGAAAACCGAACAGAACCAGGCACCCCACTTGGCCTGTAGGACAAGACGAGGAGAGAGGCATATACAGGTTTCCTTTCCTTTTTTTTTTTTTTTTTAAATTTATTATTTTTTAAAGACCTCAGCCTTATGTACATCTTTCATTTCAGGTTCACCAAACACATCTCTTCAGACTCATGTGCTGTCCCTGACTTTGGGTTACTTTATCTTTGACCTGGGCTGGTGCCTGTATTTCCAGACAGAGGGGGACCTGATGCTGCTCCATCACACGCTGAGCATCTGTGGCATGATCATGGTGCTGGGGCTTGGCAAGTCTGCTACAGAAGTCAATGCTGTTGTATTTGTTAGCGAGATCACCAACCCGCTGCTGCAGACCCGGTGGTTTCTGCGGGAAATGGGACGTTACCACAGTATTCTGGGAGAGGTGGTGGATTTTGTCTTTGTCTTCCTCTTCCTGGTACTACGAATCGTGGGAGGAGCTGTGATCATGTACGCAATGGTGACTTCTCCTCATCCCATCTGGCTCCTCAAGGCTGGAGGCCTGGCTATGTACATCGTGTCTTTGGGATTCATGTTTGAAATCTGCAGCTTTGTTAGGAGGAAAATACTGAAAAAATGCAATTCCTGGAAAAGCAGGAGGAGTATGGATGCACCCGAGAGAACTAATGGGCACTTGGCAACTCATTAACTGTGTTTGTGGAAGACCATCCTTTGGGAGAGGGTCCTGCCTATTGAAGCTCATTGCTGTGAAAAGAATACCTAGAGATGATGTGAAATGGACTTTCTGGCACTGCTCTGCTTCCCCTGGAGGACATGAATTGGCTTTAGGAATGCAGTAAAACAAACTGAAGAGAGTTTTAAGCAAAAAACTGAGGGACTTGGCAAGGTAACAGACCTGTATTGATTCCTAGACTTGTCCAGCAATAGTAGAGTTTATAACAGGGAGGTAGTGCCAGAGCCTTTTGGTCTGCAAACTGTAAGTGCATAGTGTCTATGTTCTTTAGTCATTTCCTTGGAGGCAGTAGTACCTTACTGTGTAAGCTGTCCTCTGAGTACTCAGTTTCTAGTGATGGTATTCCAGCTAAGACAGTGTTTTACCTCAATGTTTTTAATGACATTTCCCTTTTTTAAATGCTTGCATTCAAGCAGATGCTGTTTTTAATGCTTCTCTGGAATTAATTCTGGTGCTGTTGTGAACACCATCAAGAATGAGGCTTGTGCCAATAAACTCCATAAGCAGATTTTCATCTAGCTTTGGAGAGCTTTCAAAAATGAAGGTATCTTGTGGTTGAGAGACGATAGAGGATAGGCCTGGCTGGATGCTGTATTGCTGCTGGGACTGCCTCACTTACAGATCACTTAAGCTTAATTCAAGGTTAACAAGAGCCAAATAAATGATGATATTTTTAGGAGCGATGGTGATACGGATCTCAGTGTGCCATCTGTTCCACACCAGCAGGTCTCAGAGTATAGACCAGTTCTCAGGGTGCTTAACTTGTTGCAGGAGTTGTATTCTGACTTTCCCCCAAGGGTTTTAATGTGAATTTCTCTGCACTTGAGGCTGAAGTCGAGATGTCATTTCTCTAAAGGCCTCACACCCAAGAAACAAATATCCCTGTGTTTCCCTCTGGCTTAGCAGGGCTGGTTGCCTTTCCCTCCTTTCTGTTTTCCAAAGACCTTGTTTAAATATCCTTAATGAAGGATTAAATATCTTGAGGAAGTTGACATGCTGCTCATAATACAAGGAGGAATTAAAGACTCCCTGAAATTGTCTGTCTTGCCCAAGCATACTGTCTCCTCTCTGATGTATAAGAGAGGAGTGATGGGAATAAACCTACTGTGGTGACGCGGCCTTGGGAGCTCCTCCAGGCCCCTTATCACCCGACTGCTCAGTGCTGATGCCTGCCTTGGCTGGGGTTAGAGTAAGGTGGCTGGAGAGATTAAAAAGGGAGAAAACAGGAGCCTTGCACTGCCACCGTAGCTCTGGGGACTATGGGGATTATTGCTGAGGTGTGAAGTCATGCCAAAGTCACTTGTCCTTCTGAGAACTCCTATCTGAGATTTCTAATAAAGTTATGTTCTCTTTTTAAAAGAAACACTTGCTGTAGTGTTCTTTTGTTCTGGATCTTCAGGAGGAGTGTGAAGCCAGCACTGCAGAAAGGAAGGGCTGGCAGGTCGGGCAAGCACGCCAAGGCTAGCAGCCTTGAGCAAAGCTCTGGCCAAGGCCTACACACCGCTGGGAAGGAGCGGGGTGACCGTAAAGCAAACGCGGAGCCACGTGCCCTGCACACAGGCTTGAGGGAGAAAGGATGGATGAGCGTCAACTGGAGCTCGCTTAGGACTGAAGTTCCCTTTAACCTGCTTTGCCAATGAGTCACTGCCAGTGCTGTAGGATCCTGGGAAAGTGGCAGGGAACTGAGGTTGTGTTGGCTCTTGATGGACACAAGGTTGCATGGGAGCTGTAAAATCTGTTCTGGTTATGGCCTACATCCCAGGCTTTTTTTCCTTCTTTGTAGTAGCATCTTATTATAGAGGTGGCTGTTTTGGAGGCTCAGGGTTACACGTGATTTATTTAGTGTATATTTGATAGCAGAAAAGCATCCCATGGAATTTTTTTTTCCTCTTTTGCTAATGCTTGAGAGGAAGCAACTTTTTTAATGCTTGCTATAGTTGTCTGATTTTTGCCAGGCCTAATGAGGGCTCTTTTGCAAAAAAAGTGAACAGGAGTCTTGACTCATAACTGAGAGACTCCACCTTTCCAGTTTATTTTTGGACAAGGCATTTCCAAATGATGATAAACTCTGTATCATCTGTGTTGTGAACTCTAGCATGGAAATAAGACAAGAACAACTAATTTACTGATGTGCAAGGGCATGGCTGTACTATGCAGGGTGGAAGTGAGCAAATAACTGTTTGGAGAGGCTCCTGTCCCTAGCTGTTGTGCTGAACACTATTCCTCTGCCGGCAAAACGAGCCGGCGCAGCTCAGCCTGCCTACTGAAAGGGCTGACTTGGCACAGAGCAAACACGAAAATTAGTGTATAAGCTGCACCTAACTTCTGGCACAATCCACCGGCAGGTGATTTAGCTTGAGCCTGTGCTTCACTGCGTGTGAATTGTGCACGTTGTATGATCTGGAAAAATAATGCAGGGAAGCCCCGAGGCCCTGTGGAGAAGCGAGTGCCTTTTTATG